GTAAATGTATAAATAACCATAATATAATAATAATTGATTTAAAAAAAATGTAGTTTTATTTGCACTTTACCTTTGAGGATAGACGACGGTGGAGGTGTAAACTGGTGGCAGAAGAGAGGGAGAAGGAAAATGATACTAAAACTTAACTTACATAGCATAATGTAACAATAACTTAAAAATAACTTAACACTAATTTTTTATTCACTGCTTTTTGCTTTCTTTCCTTTACTTCCACCTGCACTTTCACTGGATAGAGGTCACTTGGTAAAATATCTATTCAAAGAGGTTTGGCTTTGCCTACCTTTTAAAATGTTTCTAAAATTACTTAGACAAATGTCATTACTCTGAGCAGCAATACAGCTAATGTGAACCTTTTTTGGGATGTTTCTTTTCAATAAAATCAGTCACTTTCTAATAATACCGCAAGATTTTCTATATCGAGCGAGATCTTTCCATGATGAAACAAACACGTGGACTGAGACCAATGAACAGAAGTGAATATAAAATGGCGCTGAGAACTAATGTAACGTCGTATGGTGAGTTTTTGTTCGTATCTTGGAGCAAAAATATGTTCGAATTTTGTGTCATATCTTGAAAATTTTGTATGCTGGGACGTTCGTATCCTGAGGTATCACTGTACTGTATAATAAAATAAAATGGAGAAGGTACTGAGGTCAGCATTACATGTATGTTTTCTTATCGCAAGCACTTTCAACGAACTCGAATTGACTGTCTAAGTTCGTCGAAAGTGCTTGCGATAAGAAAACGTACATATAACACTGACCTCAGTGTCTTCTCCATTTTATTTTATTATAAAATATAATTCAAATTTCATTATGTTTATTAAAATTATTACAAATTATTAAAATTGTTGTTACTTGCAAAATTAGAATTATAAAAATATAAAATTGAAATACAAGGTATTCCAAAAAGGATGCTACCCTTTTTAATCATTGTTATTATGTTAATTATTATCTGAGAAGTATGTGACATACATCAGTTGGTAGAGTAGCTGTTTGAGTTTTATTTCTCATTTTGCATTCAAACTGCCTCTAGGAAATGTCATAAATGAAAATGGCAACACTCCAGCAGAGAAGGCATTTTGTGTTCTGCAGTTTGCAAAATCAGAATTACTTGTCATTGTGCAAAATCAGTAATGTTCAGAAGCTGTAGAATTGTGGCTGCTGTTGGAAAAGTGACAAAGGATATGTTGTAGTGAGCACAGAATGAATTTGAGTATCAGTTGAATGTGTGCTATGTGACAAGAGGTGCACACATTGAGAGATTGTAATTGGTAAATGTAAAACTTTGACAGTTTTTCAATGTTTTAATGTACATTACAACATTCTCAGATAATAATTAACATAATTACAATAATTTAAAATGGTAACATTTAATTTGAAAGACCTTACGTTTATATCTATATCTATACTAATATTATAAAGAGGTAATGTTTATAAGTAAGTAAGTTTGGATGTAGCAAGTAATCTCCGAAACTACTCATCCAATTTCAAAAATTCTTTCACCAATATTTAGAATTGAACTTCAGGATGGACATAGGCTGTATATTATTCCGTAAACATTCATATAAATTAAAACATATCATCTAGGGCTAAGGCTTTTATGTCCAACAGATGGCGCTACGAGTACGACACCCTAAGTTTGCTTTTATGTGAGGCATTATGCTTTTCTGTGACGATGAACTAAAGCAGATCATCTTTTATCTATCTATATAAATAAAAATGTAATGTTCGTTTATTCCTACCGATTTTTTTGAAATTTGACACAACGCTGCATTCGAATGTGCACATGTTTTTATATAATATACATGTCAAAATTTCCCGCACCGGGGGGAGATGGACAGGATAAAGGCTTACAGTAAAGAACTCTGCTTCTATACTATTTCAGATGCGGTTTCTTGCGTTTTTGATTGCATTTTAATAGGGTACGTCAAGAGAATGTAGACTAAGAAGGGATTTTTTGAACTCCCCCCCCAGGGAAGTGTTATACATTTATAATAGATACATTTTGAGCCACAACAACGTGTGGTGGGGTCTGCTAGTGTACATATATTTCTAATTGAAATTTGACTGATCTATTTAAAGATAAAAAACCATAATATCATAAATGTTATGTTTAGATTATTTCTATTTTATTATGAATGTAGAATTCTCAATTTCAAAAAAAGTCAAACCTAAATTTTATTTTAAAAATCTATTTCTTACATATTATTGATGAGACTGTCTTGTCTCTAAAATCACGCTGCTGTCAACAGCTGCACATCTTAGAAGTATGAAGGAGTACATGTCAGGAGTTGCAATTTGGCACAGAATATTTGGTGCCCAAATCATGTGCACATAAAATAAACCAGACTTGTAGGTAGTCAGGAGACCGAAAACCGGGTCGAAAGAAAATATGAAATGCTGAGACTTTCTACAAATAGGCGTGTATGCGAGATTTGCATATGCGTTGCTTGCGCTCTCTGAGACATAGTCTTGTCCCAAAAAAATGGCTTTGCCGTTTTACTTGTTTTTTATATTAAATGCATTATTATTTTTTTTAATGAAAATTTCATAATAATAATAATAAGTTAAACTACATAGCTATTGGGATTTTGAATGATTATTTTCAGCTCCACTTGTAGAACCATTTAAATATAAAAATATTGTAATAAACATTAATATTTAATAATTTAAATTATTAAAATTTAAAATTAATATATATTAAA